GAAATTTTGTGAATCAATTTTATTGCGACTCGAATTTTCGCGAAAAAATTTAACGAGCTCCAAAGTCTCTCAATACAGTTCTGAGTTTTGGTCTATGTGATACGATTGTTTCTTGGCCTTCTGGTCATATTCTTATAATAATCGGTCGAACGTGGCAATGAATCCTTTCGGTAATTCCAGCCAGAGGCACAGGATGATTTGGATCTTTTCACTGCTTTCAGCATCCCATCAATTTTTCACTATCCCTCGAACCTTGTCTTCGTTGAAAATTCACCACTTCGTTCGCTAATATCCCCAAATTATGCTAATAATCGACATGGATCATCGGTCTGTGGGCGGTAATTCGGGGGCCGGCGCCTGTCATCATCCATTGGGGTCTGATTTTATGTTTCAATCTGCCCTGTGGATTGCTCAGGCAAAGAGAATTGGTGGCTGTCTTTCGAAAGGCAGTCGAAAGGCAATCGATGAAGGATTCCCAATCACACAAATCTCTCTTGTGACCGACTGAAATGCGGCTCCTCAGGATTGGAACTATGATATGAAAGCCTATAAGAGAGTAGATATATCATCCATTAAAATTTCAGTCAATCAGAAAAAAAGACACCCTTTCTTTGACAACAATTACCAACTACGAAAACCAGGCAAGCGCCCATGAGGCAGTGATCAGGAATATGGCAGGTGGTACGCATCATGCGAAGCGATGTGCAAAGTTTTTCTGTTGCTGACTTTCACAGATTATTCTAAGAACGTCTCTTCCAACGGTTTCCTCTCCCTTCCCATCGAATCTAAAGCTTCAAATTCAAAGCATAGTCGATCTATTTCAGACGCTGGCTCCGAACAATCCACGAGGTCCAGCCTGTCTAGAATTACATATGTTGAGGAAGATGCACATATAGCAGTATCTCCAGACCCAGAGGATTCCGATAGCATCGTCCCAGCAAATTACACCTGCTTGGATCGTCTGGTTGTATTTATTCGCATCTTGTTCTGTCTTCCAATTCCGATGATGATGAAAAAGAAAAGATCTCCAAGGCCTGTCGAGGCGGAATCATTCGATGTAAGTAAGGAATATGCCATCTCTATTGGAGGCTTGCTAAGGAAATATGGTAGAGGGAGAGCTCTCCATGGGTACTCCCCGTGTTTGTGCTATCAACGCGCAGGGACTCGGACAAACAGCCAGTACCAAAACGCGCGAAGTGTACCATCGATACCGGTAATATGCAAGGGAATATTGTGTCGAGGGATTTCGTCGAAAACGTCCTGGAGTATTCGGAAGCAAACTTTGTTCGTTTGACAGCAGAGGAAAGGGAGGGCGGCTTTGGTATAACAGGGGACAAACTTGTGAGTTTCGAATGGTTCCTTTTGTTACAGTATTCCAAAAAGGAAGTTGTCTGGATGAAAGTCGACTAATTTGCTTTGTTCAAGGTGCCGGAAGGAGCCATTTATTTGACCTGGTATCATAGCAAAAGCACTCGGGTTTTCCATCGCATGAGATTTCTAATCTCGCCATATTCCCAATGTGACCTTATCATCGGAGCTCGATCCATACTCAAGGACAATCTGCTTGGTGTTCCCAACCTGCTGGCAACAGTCTCCACTAGGGTCGCAAACACAGAGGATCTCAAAACGGGTGAGCAGCTCTGGATACGAATTTAATTTCGATGATGGCACGAAGCTAATCAACATAATTGCAGACAAAGAAGAGCAAGAGCTAGAAAAGGCTTTCCTTAAATGGAAGGACAGCTACGAAGAGAAGGAAGTCGAGCTAATAGAAGCGGGAGAGGATATAGATAACAACAAGGAATTGAAGAAGATCGGAGAATCCCGTGATATCGCCAAGAAATTTCACCTAATCAGAGAGGCAGAACTGAAAAAGGAACAAAAGCTAGTAATTCAATTGAAAAAAGAGCTGGAGACGCTACCAGGCTATGAGAATTATGTGGTCCTCTCTAAGTTAAATACTACATCCACTGGTCTAGAACCAAATAGTGGTGCAGGTGCAGGTGCAGTTCAACGTGCCGCCAAGAAAGCAAATGGAACATCTCCGTCTAAGGGATAAGTGTTTGCGGTATGTTGGGGATACCTTTTGAGAATTCGTAATGAATTAGAGAATCAGGAACAATCATTTGTTTTGTATGCTGGCACGAGACCCGAGAGGTTTTTGGAATGAATTTTCGCGCTTTTTTTATATTGACATTTGAGAAACTCAAAGATATGGGATGGTAGTGTTTGTTATTTGGCGGGTGGTAAATTTCGGCTCGATTAGACTTTCATTGAGCAATCAGGGCAGAAATATTATTGTCTGGAGGATTGTGTTGTTTTATGAATCCATGAATTTAAAAATTCATAGTGTCTCTCTGCAGAATTCAATGAATACATGACGCACAGAACACTTTGAACATGACTTGTTCCAACTGTGAGTGAATAAAGTCTGGATTGTGTCACTTGGTCAGACATTGAATCTGCCCTCTTTCTGTACTCCAATCCATTTTGTCACATGGAGATGGAACTACCACATACCGTGATTGATATCGATGGAGAGTTCTGAGGGGGCGTAGCCGTGCTATGAAAATGAAAATGATTTGAATGAATGTCCACAACAGATGAGAACAATAAGGGCTCGCATCTCAGAGGCTCCTGCTCATATTCTTTACTTTGATCAATATATTAGGCGTGATCAATAATACCTATAGTTCAAAGGGTGTGGAGGAGACTTCAGCGCTATTCCACTCATAAAATATAATTGCTAGCCATCACGTTGGAAGACAACACCACGTCCGTCAACTTTCCAACACTTGTCAGGATGGCCTGTATGATCTTTATAGGCAATTTTAAAATCAAATCTCCATGGGAGTCGATAGGTGATACGTTTTCATAGCAGAAACCCCATTTGGTGGGCGTAGTAGTACATTTCAATAGCGAGCACAAAGTAATTTTGCATTGGCGCGTAATCCTACTTTTTCAACACTCAAGCACCTAATTATCAACGACTAAAATACTATAACCAATTTCATAACTAGCTTCCAAACCCTTAAATTTTAGTTCTCATATGATTTTTGCTTAAATACATATTTTAATCTTTTGATTTATATCTTTATTATTAATATTTTAATTTAATAAATAATTAATACAAAATAATTATGATCATTAAAGAATCTAAACATTTTATTGAATAAAAGAATCTATTTACTTTTTTTGGAAAAAAGATCTATTGAAAATCTTAAATTAAATGAAAAAGTCTTAGATGAAAAGCAAATACTTTTTTTAAAATGAAATATTGTTATTCTATTATTTAAAAAATCCCTTAGATTTTTTTCAAAAATTGTAAAATCTTAGAAGAATATATTGAATGGTGGAAAAGCTTTGGTTATTTTTATTACTAACTGTTACGTAAGCGGACACAATGGGAGTTGTAAGCTTTACCACTACGCCACACACGCAATCTGTCCAAAAGGCACAGTATCAGGGATTGTTTCCTGATAGCTTACTACTATATATATATCCATATAACACTAACTTTACTTTTTTATAATTCTTTTCTTAAAACTTTTTAAAATTAATTGTCCCCCATTTAATATATTAATATTATAATATTAATCTTTTTTATATAAATCCATTTTCAATTCTAAAATAAAGGGTATAGTATATAATATATATGATCGATTTTTCTTTAAATGGTATATTGATGGAAAAACAATCTTTATAATTTATAAGGTTCTTAATATTAATAATTCCTTTTGAAAAAACTTTAATAAATTTTTAAATGATTTACAAAAAGAAATGAATGAATGAATAAATATTAGATATATATTTATAAAAATTTATATAAAATTAGTAAAAAGGTTGTCGACCACCTGCTCAAACATTTTACATGATTTCTTTTTGCAAATCAAGTTGTCACGGTCAAATCTGTGTAAGGGCTGGTAAGGGCACATAAGTAGATCCTGCGGATCTACTTCGGGCCGACACCAGCCCACACACAATTATAATTTGTAGAATTTTCATAGTTTAGAGGAATTAATGAAAAGTCTTTGTGCTACATTACACCTAGTTGATTCATTGCTAGTATCTATTCTTAACACAAGTGAGAATTTTTCCGAAGAGTTTCGATACCGCTTGGCGCTTGATTGTGTTCATCTTTGGGATCTGCGTACATGCGCTAAGGCAGTATCAGCTCGATTGAATCGTGTGCCGAGAGACTATACTCGGCTTTTAACATGGTGCGCTGCCAGTTGCAGTATCTTAGATGATGGGGAACCACCAATTCGCTAGTCTTTCTCTCTTGTTCAGCTATTGATGATGGTTTTCGTCACGCTCTGGCAGAAATTATTATGTAATAGGAGAAAGTAATGTTTGCTGAAATGTAGATATTCTCAAAGAAGGAGGTAAGGAAGCAAGACGCCCCAATAGAGAGGAAGAGTGGCAGCTTCAACTGTGTGCCTTCTTTTTCGCTGGTGTTGATTGGAAAATTCTAGTAGATCTTTGGATTTTCTCGGCGCACCAACCGCTTTTTCTCTGTGTAAAGCGAGCCTATCAAGGTTCTTAATGTGCGAAACCTCTGCCGTGGTCACTCAGCATCGTCTTCTCGCTGTGAAATTTTCTGGGCTGCTTCGTTCGTCAACAGTAACATGGCTTGAAATGCTCCTTTTCGTCGGCCTCTTTAAGCTATGTACATGGATTGCTCGAGCTGAGCTGGACATATGACCTTACGCCTTCAAGCTAACGGCTGCTTTCCTCCCAGAGTGAGTACTCCAACAGAAGCCATGATATTGCCAGGCGTATAGCACACTTGGAAACCTGGTTTTGCTTATCATACCACTTATTTTGACGGCGAGATTACCGCTGGGTAAATAACCCCTTGACATGGCGAAGATTGTCTGTCTCGTTCGTCTATAAAATGATCCTCTTTCTCTCCTGATTCATTTTAGCACTCGCCTACCTCATCACCTTCTTCATCTTTGGTTGAAATAGCCCCCGACAATTGTGAGATTCAAGATATTATGAAGTTCTCAAACATTCTTGCTGCTACTACAGCTCTTAGTGCATCAATTGGTTTTGCATCACCTCTGCTAGATGAGAAACGCGATTTAGTCTGCCTAGCTCAAACTATTATCATCAATCTCATCACCTTGAATCACGGTGAAGCATTCTGCTCATCTTATCCTGGGATCCAAACCTCAACCATCCGCACGACAACCACCAAGAAAACTACAACTACTCAGACATTGCCTCCAGCTGCTGTGACAATCACCGTGATGACTGGTACCCAGTGAGTCCAGCTGATTTTCCACTCACATACATCTTACTAATTAGTCTTCATAGAACTCAAACTTTGACTTCTGTCAGTAGCTCTTCCTTCATTCAAAGATTGTTAGAGTAGTGGTTCCGGATCAGTGCATCGGGACATGTCACATGCTCTAGGGAATCGATTTTTCTACTTTCACAATTGCTATATCCCTGCTGATATCTGTTTTCAAAGCTCATCACCACTTTGGCCACTGCAACCTCTACAGTGGATACTACTCAAACACTCACGACAACTAATACGATCACTATAACATCAACCACAACAGGAACTACCATGAAAAGATCACCAGAACCACTGATTAACGATGTACAACTTGACGCTAGAAATCCGCCACCAATTCCTCCATATTTGAGTATATTCGCAGCTTCTAAGATATCATCGGCTTGCAGTTGTTTGTCATTGCCAACTCCCAGCACTACCGTAACATCCACTGTACAACAAACTAGTACTGCGACTTCCACGCCACCTGCTGTCACTTCTCAAGTTCAACCAGTCACTTTTGTCACAGTAAGCTTTTGATTTTCTCACAATCTTCTTTTTCATCTATCTATACGACTGTTCAAATTTTTTCCACGCGCAAGATGATAGGCTTTCTGGTTAGCAATTGCTGACTTTATCCCTGCTAGGTAACGACAACAGCTATCAATACTATTACTGAAGTTCAAACGCTGACCAACACGATCTCTACCACCACAGCTGCGACCACAACTACTGCCGTGATTGTGACAGAAATTCCAACACCACCTGTAGCCTATTGCGATCAAGTGACAATTCCTGGTCCATATTCCTTCCTTTTTGGTGGACCAGCATACAATGAGATCTAGACCGGAGATTACAATCTACGCGATTGTTGTAGGATCTGCTGGGACATAGAAGATTGTGTCGCTTTCACATTCTAAGGTAGCGAACCAGACCAAGTGGCGTTCTGTAGCTATTCTCTTAGCGTTCCACCTACTGTATCACCCATTCCGAATCCACCGTCTTACTGTCCCTCCGGCGTCGAAAACGAGGAACGACTTGCAGACCAAACCTTTTTTGCTTATACATATGCCGGACCGTGCGATTTTGCAGGTGTACAGTATATTAATGGCGGCTAGAAAAGTATCAAGTCTGGCAGCAGTGGCCTGAAGAGTGGAACAGTTAAGGAATAGACAAGGTACGTTTTCTTTTCGTAAACGATGCTGTGTTTTGGGAAATTTGTTTGTTTCATACTACTTGATTTATTAAATCATCACTACGTGTCCACGTATACATCATAATTTTCATACAGTAAAGATACTATATATATTATTACGAGAATTCAAATCACAGTACCAGACTTTTGATCAATCTTTGACTTTAGAAGCTCTAGTGAGAATGCACGCTGAAAGTACGGAGTTATTATGATTACTAGTTTTATACAACCATCTCAATATATCCTGTCACAACTTTTGAAGTAGATTGATTTTGAGATAAATTACAAAGAAGAATGACATTCAAATGCCAATGCTGATGATATTGGTCATTGTGAAAGAGATTTGAATGAGAGGGAGATGTAAGGCACAAGATAAATCTACGCTTTATAAAAAGCTAGGAATACTACCCGAGAAAGATACCCAAGTACATATGAGAAGCGACAAAAGAAGTATCACTAGAGTGTGTTCATCGTGACTATTATATAGCTTGTGCTGGGTTTAACTAGTGAACATGTTCTTTAATGGTGACCGTTGGGACAGGGATCATGTGACCGCGCTAGCGCCCCGGCACTACAGCATATACGTTCGTAGCCCTTAGCTTTTAGAACCTCAAGCAATATTACAACAGTGTGAATCATTAGTACTATATTGACTTCACCATCCCCATGGTGATACCAACAGTGACGAAATGGGTTTTAATTGTATCGATGTAAAGAGAGTAGCAAGTAATATTCGACGGGAATATAGCCTAATATTAACAATACCTAGCAGTATTCATTTCTTTATGTATGTAGGAACAAGATAGAATCTAATCATATTGCTTTGAGTCACGCCTCATTCTCGATCTACAAGGAATCCAAGCTTATTATATCTTGCTAAGTAAAGCTGACCAGGGTGTCGAGTAACTTGCGGATGACAAACGATGTTTGAAAAAACAGTCATCAGTGCAAATCAACCCAAAAACCATCGCAAGCTCCGATCTAAACCAAAACACTTTCCTCAAAAGCGAATCCTTCTTCCCTAACAGCCTCCCCATCCATTATCCCAAAAACATAGCATTCACCCACCAGCCTGAACCTATTCTCCCCATCAACCGCTCTTAGCAAATACGGGACATCACAGCCATCCATCACATATACTATATCACCTTCTTTCGCATAACGAGGGAATAAACCGAAATACCCCTTTCTCGTGATCCCCCACCTACGATTCGTGAGCACGAATTTCATGGCCTCGCGCAACTCCTGAAAGATTTGCCCTGGTATCCTTCGTGCGAGGTTAGCTAATTCAAGCCTGCCTTTTCCGAGGGGCTTTTGTTGTCGCAGTGAATACGTTTGGCCCTCCAGCGATGGAGACTGACCCGTAGATGCATCGAGGAGGAGACTTATAATTTCAGCGAAGGAATCTGGGCATGGGAGTTTTCCGGAGTCGGTTTTGCTTCCTACGAGGGTTTGCCAAAACGCATGAAAGACTGTATGAGAAGTCGGATAATGTTTCGATTTTGAGACGAAAGTCCAGAGTTCCAAGAGCGTGTTGTTGTTGGTGTGTGGATCGAGATAACTGACATCGGGATGTTTGATCGTTATGCTGGTTTTAGCAAGAGAGTCAAATGAGGTCCCGTGTATTCGAAGCTCATTCCTAGATTCATCGTTGATTTTAACATACACTTTATTCAATTTGAACTTGAATGATCCGCTGGCATTATAAGTCCCAAGTTCATTCGTTTGTCGGCGTTTTCTCCAGTCAGGCACCCAGGATGGAAGATCAAGAGACTCATGGTCTATGGATTTAAAAAAGATGCTTGGAGTTAAAATTTGTATGTCTTTAGTCAGAGCGTGAATTGCTACGTCGTGGTAGAGTTCGTTTTCTGTAAAATCCGTGTACCTGACTTGAAACTTGTCTGCATCACTGCATACCCCAAGAAGCCCATAAATCTTATCTCGTGGATCAAAACATTGACCACCTCGAGTGCTCACAAGATTATCAAAGATGTGTGTCCCATAATCAGCGCTACGATATTGTTCGCGTTGACTAGTCAGCCCTAGTACAGTTTGGCTGATATCACTTAGTTCACCGGAGTCCTCAACGTTAGCAAATTTCAGCTCTAGCCATTGAAGTATTCCACACGTCGACAGGTGGTTCACAGCTCTTGAGAATTTGTCCCACCTAAGTAGCTCATCGCCACACATGATCCATGGGTTGTTAGAGAGCATAACTTCTTGAATAATCCAAAGCCGCGTAAACCATGGGTGCGAAAGAAATTTCCAGAGAGCATGCCAGGTCTTTGAGTCCGATTTTGGTAGTTGCATTCTCTCGAGATTTTCGGGATCAATTTTCAATTGAATAAACAGCAATTTGACATTGATATCTTTGAGGAGCTGTATTGCAGAGTTGGAAGCAGGCTCGCACCGCCCTAGCCAGATCACAGTATTGAATGCATGCTTATAAATTCTTGCCATCAGCGGAATCTGCATTTCCTTTTCTTTATTATCATCTTGATTTATACAAATCTGGTCAATCCACATGACTATGGGATGATCTTCCTTCCGCATGTTTTGCAGTGCCATCTCGAGGGAAGTTGTGATCGCTTTATCGTGTCCGTCACATTCAATACTTCCATCCATACTCGATGAGCCCCAGGTATAGCTTAGTGCTGTATACCAGATTGGGGTTGTTATATTCTCTACAGAAAGCGCATGCGTTGTGAATGCCGTCCTGTGAACTTCAAACTGGTCCACAACGGTCTCATACTCAAACTCGACTGAGCAATGATGCAAAGAACCGCGCAGCTTTTCACTATCGCGCCCCGGCTTAATTTCAAGCACACGGATCTCGTATGGGTTTACGATAGTCTTATAGAGTCCGCTATGATCATCGCCCTTGGGTGTGTTCATCGTCTTATCAGACGCCCATGTGCGGATTTCTTCCATAGAAAGCCATTCTTCTGGCTTGAAGTTGGTAGCGGGACCCCCAAAAGCAGTCGAGAAATTTTTAATCTGTGCAAACTCAAAGTCTGCGTCGTTCGCGTTATGTTCGGAACCGTGATACGCAAGAGAGTAGACGTTATGTTGTTTATTTATGGTCGCCATCTTCTAGGCTCGGACAGTAATTGTAGATTACTCTGGAGTTTGATACAACAAGCTTTGACATGGTGGTTATCTAGACTTATATTAGTTACCCAGCATGTGACAAGTGTCAATGAATTGCATTAAGGTTATGTGGGGTTGATCAGAAGCGTGGATTAATAATGAAAATTAAAAACTTCTCAGAATTCGAGAATTTTTACCCATTACAATTCGATGAGCTCAAGAAACTATTTCATCCATAGGTACCTGGGTATTTGGGTGTCTGTATGGTTGTCTACCTATAGCACAGGCTCAAGATTTCCTATACTATATGGGAAAGTCGGCGGAATTTCCGTTTTCGATTGCAATGCCAGGAGCGCAATCACTCAGGAACTTTCACATCTTTGCCAACGGTCTTGGCCAATGTCAAAATAAATATCAAAATATGAACTGTTAATGATTTCCTTAAGCCTAAGAGGATAAAACATCTTTCACGCTGATAAAACAAATATGATGATTATTGGAGTCAACATCTACGTCTGCAATCTATCGCTCGGTATCAAGCTGTTTGTGATCAACGATACTTACTCACTCTTATTACTTTGTGTCTTTGGTGAGTCAATTGTTTATGGCGGAAGTTTTTCATGTTTTACGCTCCAAACATGTCTCACTCAGCAAGATCGAGAATCACCTTGATTGTTTCCTCTGTCTATGAACCCATCGCATAAACTGCTTCCATGTTTCCTAGTAGAGAGTCATAATATCTATGGAATTCGCAAGATGCGCAAACGATAACTATTGGTGAGAATTGAGTATAAGTAAGCACATGTTCACATTAATTCCTTCTAATACCAGATCACTTTTAATTCCCTTACTTACCTACTTCCTCTCAGACTATCAAGGCGAAAATGGCAAGCTCTGAAAGTGCAGGGTCTGGAAACAATGGCTTGCTTAGAGTAAGACTCTTAAACATTCAAGAGGCTCCGCGCTTTTCTCAAGCAGAGCAAAAGATTCGAAATGACGCAATGCAGAGCCCTGGACTTGCAAAAAGCTTCGAAGGAGGGGCCAGAGGGAAATGAGTTCATACAAGCAAAACTATTTCAGTGTGTGACCATCTCAAGCACTCGTCGACAAAAAAAATCAGAATACGCAGATACAAAATCATTTTTGGCAAGCTGCAGTTACCATTACGAAATAGAGAAGACGTCAGAGACTTATTTGAGGAAATATTCAAGCAACATAAGCCTCAAAGCACCTCATGGACATCCGACTACTACTCTTGTATCATTTCTACTGATCCTCTTTACAGCGAATGCTCGGAGGAACAGGGCTCTGCCATATCTATTGGATACGAGCAAACTATCCAACTCAATGATCGAAAGCAAACAATAAAAATGACCAGTACTCTTTACTTTGAAGGTTTTTTTGCCATAGATTCTCTCAGAAGTTATTTGCGACCAAGAAGAGCTTCAACTCAGCAGTCATCAGACACGAGTCTTTCAAGACAGGACGGAAACTACTTGCCTCTTGAGGACCTTAGAGCCCTGAACCTCATCTCATGGGACATAATAAACAGTTCTTCCTTCAAAGGAGGTCGAGTTGGAAAAAAGTTTTATCCTCATTGTAACCCGAGACGGATTGTCAATCGATCGAACACCAGGTTCATCCCTCCTCAGCATTATGTGTACGATGTACATATGGGCTTCTTTACGTCCATGCTTCCTGGCCCCCAATCAATACTTCTCAACGTAAACACAACCACAACGGCTTTCTTCCCTTCCAAGATGAATTTGCAAACTTGGTTAGATGCGCGCTGGGGAAACTCGTCTAGTTATACCGGTGTTGCTCCGCGAACTGGAAAAAATGAAATCAAGGGAGTGCAAGTAACTTTCGATTTGGATCAAGTCTCCAGAAAATATGTCATCTCGGATGTGCATGATTTGTGTGTTTTTAAGGCGAATTCAGGAGTATCACCTCAAAATGATTCTTCAAAATCGGTCTGGGAGGACATGCAAAGTTGTGAGTAGTAAATTTCACAAGAAAACGCGATAGCTTATTGACCTATAATATAGGCTACCCTGGTTCCGCTCACAAATTCAGCAAGACTGCTTCTTGTGTCAATGTTGGAAATAGTTCTCATCCAAAACTATTGCCAGCAGACCATCTACGGATTTGCGAGTGGCAAACAGTCCATGGGGAATTAGACAATCTATTCACTGCGCAAATGTTAGGATTCGCGAAGAAAACGCCTTTTGAAAATGAACAAGAGATAATGAACAAAGCTTTCATACCACTGGGCATAAAACCCCCGGTTTCTCAGATTGTGCCGTGGAAATCTCTATATGAGGTGAACTACCATGAATTTTGTTGGGAAACTGTAGACTAACCCGTACAGAAATATGGCTTAACCGTGGAAAGAAAGCTGTTAAATGTATCCTCGAGACATTTGGCCCACCCATCTTTAACATTCAAGCCTGGGAAAACTAAAAAAACTTATCAGCGCCTCCTGGAACCTGAGCGATGTGAAAGAATTCAATCTAGCCCAAAAATACTCTGAGCTTAGGATCATTTGTGTGACTAGAGAGGAGAACATTTCCGATGAACAAAAAAAGATTGTTTCAAAGTTCGCAGAGGCTCTCGCAACTCAACTGAAAGGACATGGCCTTCAGACACAATCTTTCAAAGGGAACGTACCCACCGTTGCCTGGCCAAAAGTAAACGAAGAGAAAAAGCCTTTCAAATCTGCGGCCGAGAGACGAAAAGTAGTCAACGGTCTTCTAACTACTTGTTTGAAGAGAGGTAACATGACCCGTCTCGTATTTGTGATATTACCCGATAAAGACGCCGCGATCTACTCTGATATAAAATGGTGGGGGGATTGCAATCTTGGTATAGCGACGATTTGTGTTTGCCCACCAGCGGTGAGAAACAAAAGTTCTGGTATTCTAAACAACTTGAGGTATGTCTATCAAGTCATTCGTGTGGTGCCTGTGCAAATTTTGACTAATGTGTAACCTAGCCTCAAAGCTAATTTCAAGCTTGGTGGTATAAACCATATCATAAGTGATGTCAAAGAACCATCGGAACTCATCCGGTCCATCCGAAATGATTCCCTAATGATTTTCGGTGCTGATGTTAATAGTCGGCTCTCATAAGCGGCCGACTAGTTCTTAGTCGGGGAAAGCGAATGTCCCCGGAAAGCGAATGTCCCCGCTCAACTGTAGAATATCATATTATATCGAATTTAATATATTACAACTATCGAATATTTTATTAAAATTGATAAAAAATTGTTTCTTATATTTTATTAATAATGCTATTTATACTGAGCGAAGAAAAATCGAGATATGATAAAGCTATTCAATATTGTTTGGATTATCCTATAGAATCTGTTTGTATTGTATATAGAATATGGAAGCTTGATTGTTATTATGAGCAACTCAAAAAGGCAGTACAACGTATATGTAGTCGTCGAGCTAATGATATTGATACTGGAAAGCTTGAAAGGCAGAATAGGATATTGACTGATAAGCAAATTGAATATATTTATACATTTATTTGGAATCTTTTCAAATACAATATCTCTCTTATTCACAAATTCATTTTCAATGCTATTGTATATTTCAAATATATAATAGATCCTGAAGCAAAGATACTTTCAAAGTAATAGTTTAGAGGCTTTTGGAAGAATATGAAACTATATACAATTATAACAAAGCCTATTGCTAAGCAATATATTCAAATATAAAGGGAAGAGGATATTAAAAAATGATTCAAAAACTATTATAATTGCTTGAGAGAATTAGGTATTAGGAAAACAATATAGATTATAAACTTTAATAAAACAGGATTTAGAGCAGGATATATATATGAACAAAAGATTTTAATTCTAGATGATATATTGGAGGTAAGTGGTTTGAAGATTTATATATGAAATTAAACTGATTAAGTAGTTTTATTCTATTAGTCCTGAAAATCGATACTCTATTACAGTATTCGAAGCTATCAATACCACCAGCAGTCCTCCTCCTCCTTTGATTACTATAGAAGAAAAAGATTTGATACAGAATTGATTTCAAGAATCTCTGCCTCCTGGCATACGAATTATACTTTCAGTATTAAAATTCATAAATAATAAGATAGCTATAATGTTTTTGAAGTATTATATTGAGTATTCAAACTTTGGGCCAAATAAAGAATGGAAGATTCTACTTATGGACAATTACGGATCTCATTTACAGCCAGAATTCATTGAATTTGTAAATTTGAATCATATTCAACCTTTCTATCTTATTCCACATCTTACACATTATATATAACTACTCGATATAGGCATATTCAGAATATATAAGCATTAGTATCAGTATTTTATTCAAAAGGCTTTGATAAAATTCATTCTTGAATATAATATTATATATTTTCTACAGGATTTGGCAGCTATTCGATATAAAATCTTTACTCCCTCAAATATAAAATCAGTATGGAAAAGTTCGGGTTTGTAGCCTATCAACTCAAAGAACTGTATTCAAAATATCAAAAAGTTCAATCGTTCTGAGCCTTTACCAATCATTGAGGAAGATATAGAATTATCCCCTTATACTACACCAGCTCAACCTATAACAATATCTCAGGATCTAGATTATTGAAGATATAAAATCAAAAAAGCCAATTCAAGTTGGAGTGATCCTATACGAAAAAAAGAGTTCGATATGTTTGTCAGTAATATACAAACTATACAGGTTGATATTATTATGTTAAAAGTAGAGGTTATAGTATATTACAAGAGAAGATAGGAAGATTTTATAATTAATTAAACATTTAGAAAACAATATAAAACCTTTGTTATCGATGTTTTAAAAGGATTTACAATAGAAGATTCTTAGAGGATTCGGAAAGAGACAAAAGATAAAAAAGATATTATAGCTAAAAAGAGAGATTGTAATACTTTTTTAACTATCTGGTATACTGAAAGAGATGATATTTTAGAGTCAGGTAAGAATACTAAAAAGAAGAAAAGGAAGAAAATAAAAGAATTAAAAGAATTAAAAGAATATCAAAACAGAATTCCAATATCCTTTTACCTTACCATCTGATTATTCCAATAGTAGATTTAGAGGTAAAATGGAAATATACAAATCAGATATGGATAAAGCTACAGAAAGAGAAAGAATTGAAGAAGAATATAAAAGTTAGGGAGGGTTTGAGGATAATGAATACTAATAGTAATAACGATAATGATAAGGTTGCTTTTATAATAGATATATAGGGTGATATGGAATTAGGTTTATAGTATGATTATGTGGTTTTTATGTTTATGGAAGACTTTCAAGATGGAATAGAGAAAAATGAGGGAGGTAGTTTAAATATTAAAAATAACAATGATAATGATATTGATTTAGGCTTTTATTAATAAATATTATTGAATAATTATATAATTCTATTGATCTCTCTTTTCTTGATATTAATAATTCAGTTCTATAATACTTTTATTAATAAATTATTTTTAAAAGTATCAAATATATGATATTTTGAGCTTGAGCGGGGACATTCGCTTTCCCCGACTAGGAACTAGTCGGCCGCTTATGAGAGCCGACTATTAGTCATCCTGGCAAAGGGTTGGATCCTGAATGCCCATCCATGGCCGGCGTAGTCGCTTCTTTTGATTCCAAATTCTGTCATTTTGCTGCATCTGCTCGCCTCCAGCCAAATAATGCAGAGGTACTCCGTATATTATTATTCCTTGGAAGATTCATTTTGACTGTTTACTAACCGGTTTCTCATAATTTATCTCAGATCTAAGCGGCATGGTCAAAGAGAGACTACAGCTTTATCAGGAAAAAAATGGAGGGAATCTTCCCTTGAACATTCTATTTTACCGAGATGGCGTTAGTGAGAGTCAGTTTGGCATGGTACTTACTCAAGAGCTTCCACAAATCGACAAAGCTTGTAAGGAATTCACGGAGAAGCAAGGAAAACCTGATGTTCGTGTCACGTTGCTAGTCGTCACGAAGCGCCACCACAACCGTTTTTTCCCGCTTAATTTGGAAAAGAATACCGAGAATATAAGTGGGGGTCTGGTGGTTGACAAGCACATCATGAATCCTAATCAAATGAGCTTTTTCCTTCAAAGCCATGATTCCCCGCTGGGGACAGCACGGTCGGCGCACTACACTGTCATCGCTAATCAATGCAAATTGACTTTGGATCAACTAGAACAAGTGGTAAGATATGATATCTTTCTGAACATACTCACACTGACAATCCTTCCAGACACATAAATTATGTTTTGTGGGTTCTCGAGCGCCTAAGGGATTATCTGTCTGCGTTCCAGCAAGATATGCCGATATCCTTTGCGACCGGCTCCGGTGTTAGATGAAGCCTGCGCTAGATGGAGGACTTCGTCGTACTCAGGCTCAGATTCAGCAGAGCAAAGATCCACTGGCTCACTATCACGGGGCACAGCAGGCGTGGATTCGCCCAGGATCTAAACAAACTAATCCCTGGCACTGTAATCTGGACAACATCATGTTCTATTTGTAATTTACAGGAGAGTTTATGACTTTTCCATGAGTTCTTTATGAGTGCTTTTCAAGTGTTATACTTTCAGGTTTGATTTCTTATGCTAGTTGTGAGTTTTCGATACGTTTTAGTTTTTTATTAGAAACTTGGTGAATATTTTTTGATTGCTAGCTTATGCCATAAGTTATTGTGCTGTGTGGGCTGAATCTTGCAGTTTGTATTAAAATTCTTGGAGGTTAGCTTTTATAATAATAAGGAATAGTATTATTATAATGATAGTGGAAGATCTAGTCAATTTAAGCTTGAGGGATAAATCGAATATATAGAATAAGAGTTGAATTGAAGTCAATTTAGAAGAGCTAGGCTGAGTTGAGATGAAATTGCTTGCTTTTTCCTAGATTTTCTTTAAAGAATATTCTAGGTTTATATAGTTTATAATGAAATTCCAGTATATTCTATGCTTATAAATAAGATCGATTTAAATCGTATCTTATAGAATCATTTTAGATAATAAAAAGAAAGTACAACCAATCAATTTAGCGATATTTCCTGTATACTTCCATCTAGTTCCATTTCATTCTATTCCATTATAAATCAATTTGATAAGAGATACTATTATACAACTATATGATAATATGATTTTATAATATAAGATCATATTATATGTGTATTAGTCATCAAGATATCCCTTATTTAGTAAGATATTAATAAGTGATTTAGTGGACTTATTATGAATCCTCACAAAAATGCAAATCAAGCTTCTGAAGTTATTCTCCAATCCATCGGGTTTCTAACAAAACGCGTGCTTCAACAACAATCTTTCCTTCGCAATTATAGGAGTATCGGTGAAGATACAATGTATGTGACATTCCATGCGCGAGTTGCGACAAGCGTCCTTTTATTATTAAAGTGTATTGTAAGTATTTCAAATAATCATTCCTTTTTGTAAAACTACTAGTTAACCTCAAAACTCTGGTTGAAAGTTGCGATAATCGTATTTATTTGATATATTGTAGCATCTGAAGACTAGGATTAGAGTATTCGATAGTCAGGATTATAGTTTAATGATGAAGATTGTCAAATCTCTAGACTGATAAGATGAATCGAACTAATTGAGAGATTGGGCTTGATTGTAAGATTGAGTTTGATTGGAAGATTGAAATATTTTGATTGCTTTCAGACATTCAAACCCTTAGGTAGATATGTTGTTGGATTGCGGTTCGGACTGTCCTGACTGAGTGTAGATTGACCGTGCCGCTGGTTTGTCAAATTCTCGAATTAAGAGTAGTAAATTACAATAGCTATACTCTTCAATCAGTTTTCAAATCCGACTTCCATATGGGATCTCGTCTCGATTGTCTCTAACTGCAAACTTGCAAAGAAATAATATCATGTTTGTATCTTGATCTTTTGATATCCTCAACTATTGCCTTTAATCAACTTTGAAGTTGAATATACTACACTCACGTGTCCAAATCTAAGTTTTCTCTCTATCGAATATAAAGCAATTACATTTTTTCGCTTGCTGAAATTTTGCACGGAAGCGATGAATGGCATATCAAACTACTTCGCTTGTGAATCAGTAGGCTTCCGATAGCTCAGTAAATCTGACATTTGATCACATAATTTTAAGGAATTGAAGTATAAGTATAATTAGTGTAGATAAGTCTGAGTAGCTATCTGAGCATCGATTAGACTAGAGTTCTTCACTCCGTTAAAAGTAAATTCACTTCTCAGACGATCTCAGGCTTGCGGAAGATGTCTTCAGAACCGCGTACATGCTCAAAATGTCCCAACGCACCGGAGAACACTCAGCACTATACAAACTCCTGCAAAAAACATTGGCCATCTTGGAAAGACCAAGTCTGTGATATTTGTTTCAGCCCCGACCATTCATGTTTACTCTGTCCCGAGTTGAATGGCAACCAATATACTATTTGTAGCATTTGCGGACATCTTCATAGCCAAATAGCGTGTTCTTTCATAGAAGCTCCTGATCCTATGCAATATACGAAAGAGAAGTATGAAGCATACATGAGACAAAATCCCCCAAAAAATCAGCCACAAATAGTCCCGTCGACTTCATCTGCAGGCCCTTCGCAAAGTATACCCTCGACGGCAACCTCTGGACCACAAGTTCAATCCCATGCAACTCAAGCTCAGCCTCTCCCACCCGGCTCGATCAAACTGGTCGCAGATTTCATTCCACCAGCAAAGACAGCAAAAGAAGTTGAAGAAGACAAACGGGCAAGTGGTTTTCAAAAATTGGTCCATCGTCAGGCGACAGCTGTTGAAAATACAGGCGCCCATCTGCCTGCTCCTGTTCAGTCCAACTACTTCAAAGTCACTTTCAACTCCGATCTTGATCTGCGAAGATACAGGATTCACCTCGACAAAATCGATAAAAAAAACGTTGTCAAGCGTGAGCTTCGTCGTACTTTGATCGAAGAGCTACTCCTACAAGTCCCTCCTTCGGGAATTTGGGTTTCGGACTACTCGGAGTACATCGTCTCCGTCGGCAAACTTTATGATAAGTTAACTGATGTACCAGGAGCGACTGTCGAGATTACTCATCATCGTCATGGTCGAGATCAAATCTGGGTTCCAATGCATAGCCTCATTGTTTACGAAGGCCCTTTTCAAAGAGATGCTTTAAACACACATGTATCTTCGAGCGGTTCGACATTCGTACCAGATGCGGATCTTAGGATGCTGAACATTATCTCATGGTTTAGAATCAACGGCTACGCTTCACCGCATGCACCATTGTTTGATGGATTCCGGGTGGGAAATAGATTCTATCCTAGTGTTGGGGGGTGTAATTCCTTACCACAAGGTGCCATTGGATGGTGACGCGAAATTCCTAATCAGAACTGGCTTCTATACATCGATGCGGCCAGCTGTTGGATCGGTGCTGCTGAATGTCAACACCGTAACCTCAGCCTTTTTCCCTCCGGTAATACTGAGTACTTGGATTCGATTGTTTTGGCAGCAAGAAATTCCGCCAGTCAATGAACGAAGTAGTCTCATAGGCCTTCGAGTCACTTTTGTTGGTGATGGTGCGAATCCTAAAACGAGAGTCATTCGTGATGTCAATGGTTCAGATGTTAGTCAAGTCACTTTTGCGCCTAGAGATGCCAACGGAACCCCAGGCCAGGTTACCTCTGTTTATGACCACATGAGAAATAGTAAGTCAATCCTTTTAGTGGTTCGATACAGAGAAGTCTTGCTAAATCACACAGAATATCGATTGTTGAGATTCAATTCCTCTGTCTGCTGCTTGAATATGGGGACAGCAACCGACGAGAGATGGTACCCGGCCGATAATCTGCGAATTGTTGCTGTGCAAATCTTCAAAAAGATTCTTCCGGATGATTTGGGAAGTTTAATGATAAAGATTGCTCAGTGTGAGCCCGAAAGCAACAAGAGATTAATTCTCAACGGGGCATTGCCGTCTCTGGGAATTCCAGCTACCACGAGTTCCTTCTCGGTAAGTAGAGAAACATCAGTAGATACCATAGTCACTGATAAATGTAGCAATTCGGCCTTAGTATTAATCATGAATTTGTAGAGGTTGTTCCGAAATACCTTCGTCAGCCCATACTGGAGTTTGGCGGAGGGTCCCAGTTTCACATATCCACGCAACCAAATAACAAATCTTCCTGGATGCTCAAGGATAACTATCGTATTTTCAGGTTTGCTGACACTGGAAATTCGATTTCTAATCTGCATATCATTCGGCTCAGGTCCAACGACAATGCTAGTGTAGAACAAGTGAGGAACTTTGCCCGAGATCTCGAATGGAAAATTGGAAACTATGGTGTCACGCTCACAGGCAGTGCAAGTATCTCCGACGCTGCGTTCTCGCCAAATAGTCGGCTCTTTTGTGATAGACTTGATGTAGCCCTAGCAACTTTGTGTTCAAGAAACGGTAATAGAAACCCGAGACTTCTTCTTGTAGTAGTCCCCGACGGGGATATACGTACCTATGCAAATATAAAGTGGTGGGGTGACTGTGTCGCTGGTATTCCGACAATTTGCATCACCAAAAAAGTGCTTACCAAAGGGAAGTTTATGAACAATAGATTTCAACGGGACACTGGAGTTATCCTTAATATCAGGTCTGCCTCTACTGAATTAATTCAATAATAATGCCGATGCTAATTCTTGACCAGTCTCAAGATAAACTTCAAATTAGGAGGTACTAGCCATTTCATTAGCGACGAGGCAAGCCAAAGAATCTTCTGGGCTGGTGCGAAGGCAAACACGATGATCGTTGGAGCAGACGTTTCGCATGCTGGTAAAGGTAGGGATGCGACGTGTCCTTCAATGGCAGGGGTCGTAGCTACTTGTGATCAGCTATGCTCTCAATACTTTGCATCCGCTCGCCTTCAAGAAAATAACACCGAGGTAAGTTGTATCTTCCCATGTAAACTTTTGCTCGTGAGTCCTGAATTAGAAGATATAGTCGATCGCAGACCTAGCCGATATGATTGGAGAACGCCTTGACAAGTACAGGACTGCGAATAATAATTCTCTACCAGAACATATACTCTTCTATCGCGATGGTGTGAGCGAAAGCCAATATGGAATGGTTGTGAACGATTAAATTCCTCTCATCAAAGCTGGATGCAAGGCGGCAGGTGGAACAGGCGGAAAAGGCGGTAATTGGTGCCCAAAAATTACTCTGCTAGTAGTCGGAAAGCGTCATCACACCTGCTTCTTTCCCAAATTAGCGAAAAACGACAAATACAACAACAACCTTTCATCAGGCTTGGTGATTGATTCCGGGGTAGTTACACCTAATCATTTCAGTTTCTATCTCCAGAGTCATGATAGCGCACTTGGGACAGCAAGAAGCGCACATTACATTGTCATCATAAATGAGAGTGATTACACACCGAGCAGATTCAAGAGACGGTAAGTGACTCATTATCTCGCTTTAGTAGGGCCTTATTGAAAAAGTCTTCAGACGAACACTATCTGTTCACGGGCTCTAGGGCATTTAAAGCTTTGTCTGTTTGTACGCCGGCCAAATACGCGGATATTCTATGTGATCGCATGCGTTGCTACATGAAGCCGGCTCTGGACAATGACTTCGCTGCCACTTCTCCAAATAACTTGACTTTCTATCGAAACAACACAGGAATTTGGATTGATCCTTACCAGAATAGAACCAATCCCTGGCATCCTGATCTTAACGATCTGATGTTTTATCTCTGATTTCACAACAGATTAGATTACCTCGGCATCTTTGACTGTTTTCAAATCTTCTTCGGTCTTTTACACATCGATGAAAGAGTGTTGTGGCAGGTATGCTAATCTTTCTGGGTCTGGGTTTGGGCATGCGATCGAGTTGGTCTTTTTGAATTTTTTGCGCTTTTGGGGGTTTCAAGGACTTCAGAGATGGCAAACGAGATGGTTAGTCTCAACCTAGCAGTGTGTCCAATAGTCCGGACTATAGTCCAATAATAAAGATTTTCAAATTTCCAAATCAATTATAATATTTGTATCATTTGAGACGTTGAATTTGATTAGGACATTGGACTCGTTTCAAATTTCTAATTGCTTTTAGATATTCAAACATTTTTATTATTGGATTGTAGTTCTGACTGGAATACACTGTCAGGTTAGGATTGATCATCAATTGATGTATATCATGTCGGTAATACAACTCAATTGAATGATTTTGACTTTGCATTATCATGGGAAATGACATCAGTGAGAAATTTGATGATGGATAGACTGTGACTTGTGACATGTGGATACACGAATTCGTTGAGATGTTGAGAAACTTCAATTTGAGGGTAGCTCTTGAACCATACTTTCTTTAAATATTTAAACTCATGTCAGCCTATAGCTTCTTATAAAATCAAATGGCATTTGAATTGCATTTGATTTCTCGCATTTCGAAAGGACTCTACTCGGTATTGGACTAATGGAGGTAGGAATTACGTTAATGTCCCTGTTGATTTTAAATAACCAAAACATCTTCATGTTTATCCACTATATGACACTTAGTCCCAGAATCTAAAATGTCACAGCATTTGAAATCTTTTCTTCTCTTCAATCACGTTCCTCTCCTAGTTTAAAAAAACCTCTCTCTCATCAATTAACAGCACATGATTCTCTTTCCCAGTCATGTTCTTCTTGAAAGTCACATATATTCTTATTTGAACACCATTAGATAAATAGTACGGAATTCTACGGTCTATGGACTAACCGTTTCAACTAGGTACCTAGGTAATGAATTTATATGCTACTGACCTCAAGAAACAAAAAACCTTTATTTTCTACCGGTTTTAATAACCTTCGTGCCATTCCGTGGCTGAAGTGTCGATGATAGGGGAGTTCCCGAAATTGCTGTCAGTGTTACGTGAACAATTCCTCCTGTGATACCAAATTCGAATCCTCAGTACCTTGGATATTTAAGCCTTTAAAGGGCAATCATGTCTAGGAAAGCTATCAGGTCATCCTATAACATGTGATGGAAAGCAGGTATCGAAGTCTCATGTCACTTCGAAATTGTTCTTGTAAGTTAGCGAAACTTTTCGATAGAGCAAAACACAAATTGATTCCTATCCTATATTGCGTCTAGAGAAACTTCTTTAAGTACTCTATCTTTTGTTCATCCGATTATTCATCCAACGATCCCAAACTATATCTACAGAGGCAAATACTAATAGAACCATGCCAACATATGCTCATCAATCTACCCACAGCAAGCACAAAGGACAATTTCAGTGAAATGCTGTAATATTAGACTTGGCTCTTCACTCTATAAGCAACATTTGATGTATGGAAATTTACCAAGAATTCACCATGAGTGCCGAAGCATGAGTAGTACAGTATCGAAAAGATCAAAAGGTAAGACGATCTAACCTCAGAGCTGCTCTTCTCAAGCCAACTCATGCTCCATTGTAGCTGAATTCCCATCCAATACTTTTTCCATATCTCGATCGATTGCCAGAACTTTCGAATGCGCTACTCTGATATAAACCATGGCGCAGTACCACCCACTAGGTTTGTATGTCCCAGTACTCCGCATTGTCAGCATCGGGTGGGAGCCCAATCTACCCAGAAATCTTTTGCGTCAGGTAAACCGGATCCATTGAGAGCAGTATAAGCATCAGACCAGCACCATGAGTCCATATGCGACGGAATAGGTGTAAGGAATTGAAACGATAGTGACGAAAGCCGGAAGTGCATCGCCAATATAAGACCAATTGACTGAAACTACTTGACGCATCATCATGCCATCCCACCAAGATAAGAGTACAACCAGTGGCCCATGGAGGGATTGATGCGAATATGGGGCAAAAAAAGATTGATATCAAAAAGCAGGATACCGGTTGTGATGGCTGTAAGCCGGTTCGGCCACCCTCGGTTATACCAGCGCCAGACTCAATGAATGCAGTTACAGGTGAACATCCGAACAAGGAACCGATGGAGATCGTCATTGCGTCGGTACATATGCTATTGTAGATCGAGGGAAAATCTCCGGTTTTGGATCAACCGCTCCTGAAAAGCGTGCCATTGAATACAATGTAGCTGTGCAATCGATAATGTCAACATATAGGAAGGTGAAAAGCGCCCAATGCAAAGTGAGAGCCTGCAGCTGTGATATCCCAATCTTGTGCAGCAAGGGTATTGCGAATTGGTGAAATGCGACAACTTGTTTAAAGAATTGGAAACGTGATTCGCCATCAGGCGTATAAGGAAAATATGTGAAGGTGTTCCGCGCCTAATACACATGTAAGCTTGGCGAAAAATAATCTTGTGGGTAACACTTACGGCCATGAAAAGATAGACACAATCGCAATGCCCAATTATTATCGCAGATTTAAATCTGAATGCCATTAGGTACGAAGTTAAAAACCCTCCAAAGATAATTCCGATCCACATCTACAATAGAAAATCAGTAAATTGTTTGCAAGTGATAATAAGTCTAAATAGAAATCTCACTGTAGGGTTGGTCATCTGATGACTAGTGCAAGCTCCTGTAACGTCGAAGTATGAGGAGGACACCCTCCCAAAGCGGTTGGAGTTACCGCAGAGCCAGTCATGGCACCGATTCCTGCGGAGTATGACATTCCCGTCTCAGTCAAAAACAGACCAATTCCTACACCACTTGCGACCTTTATCGAAGCAGGTATTACCTTGACAAGCCATTGCCGCATGCCAATCAGGGATAAGAAAACGAAAATAAACCCTTCCACGACACGGCTGTGAGAGCCAAACGATAGGGAACAGTACCAGTTCCATGAAACCAACAACTTGATAGGTAAAGTATGCGTTAAGACCCATACCGGGGCTAGAAATATTAGTGTTCAGTTGTGGGAAAATTCTGCAGAGGAACTCACGCCAAGGCAACAGGTAGATTGGTGAAAAAGCCAAATGCCAGAGACCCTATTCCTGCCACTGCAGCAGTGGCTGTAATCAAATCTCGATTGATATCTAGACATTATTAGCATACATGACAGAAATTTTCGAATCGATATATCCACTGACCAAGAACGCAAGCGGCGTAGGTAGAATCTGTTGCGCAGGACGGATCTTCAGTATCATGACAGGACACAAGTACCACCACTTTGTGATAATACTGTTTGACTTCACAGCAATGTTAGCTATAGCCCTATTCTGAATATCTCCATAAGCATACATTGACAGCAATGATATATGCCATTGTGAAAAAGGTCGTACCCCAGCTCTGACTTCTGTGATAAATTTGGCATTTTTCTTTTGTTGTTCCTGGGTAGAGCTTAGCATTAAACAAATTTCAGATTTAGTACTTGAAGACTTACATGGCACCATCCATCAAGACGAAAAAACTCTGCCAAATGTTGACTTTGAAGCTCTCGTATTGAGATTATTAATATACTCTTTGATAGATAGCATGATTTGTATACAACGATGCTGTTATTGCCAAGTTTGAAGCACACGATTAGAACGTGGGAAAGTCCTAGAAGTTATACAGTAACGGTAAAAAGCTTGAGTATTTTTCGGAACAAACTTTTGATATGACAGCGGAAGCATCTGGACAGAAGAAGGAACTTTTGACAGTCAAGATAATGGATCGGAATGTAAATTCAATTTGCAATTCAATAATTTTTCCAGCCCCCCATGATCAAAACAATAACGACTTTGTAAGTTCAATCTTCTTTGTTTAAAGTAGTCCTTGACCCTTTGAAACTGGGGGATCAAGAGGGGTAGCACGGTAGACTACCGGCGTAGGACTGCGTAATTCGGCAAGGGATATAATGGGAACACAACGATAGGCTGAGTCTGGTTCGCAAACTAATCAACGGATAATGGCATTTGAGCAATAATGGTTGGGGAACGCCTCTTTGTGATAGATCGGAATACCTTGTGAATCAACGTTTCGGGGTATCATGTTATTCTTTCCGTTTAATTCTCTTGGCATAAATCTCAGCAGCTCGATGAGGTTCATAAGCATTGGATATTTCCATGGGAAATATTGAAATAATGAATGCAGGTACCACCACTTCTTGATATCTAATCAACAGCTCTCGTGAGCCTGTGGCTTCGGTTGTGAAACGCCATCCCCAATGATCATCCTGTGATACCTCTGTATGGCTTGCAGGACACAGCTTTTGGGCCTGGTCCCGACCGTAGCTGCATGAGATTTGCAGAAAAGTGGCGGACACTGCAGGGGGGTAAACAGATAAAGACGACATAATTCGGGAGGGTGCATGTTATACAAGAATCACCTGAAAATCATGACCACAGAGTAGATTTTGAGCTATGAAGTGGATCAGACGAAAACCTATGTCGGGTTTTATTGATTAATTCGGATGAAATGAAAGAATGGAAGAAGAGCGTTCAACGTCCATAGAGTATTTATTAATTAGAAGTTTGATTAACGAATACTGGTTTTGTGTCGTAACAAGAGCCAAAAAATAGTTGATGTTGTGTTTGATAGTTAAGTTTGTTACTGATCACAATCGCGAAATATGATCGCGGCTCTTCCGGATTAGACCTTTTTAGGTTAATGGCAAGGTACATCCTTCCTTCCTCCTCCCTTTACGCTCTTGCTTCCCCATTCTATCCATTGCACCCAAATTACACTCATTGTTCATTGAATTGTCTAACCATGTACAACGTGTCTTTTGATATTGGATATCTTCCAATTTCTCTTGCTTACTAAATGCGGTGCTCTCTAAAAAACCGTTCCATCACCCACCTTTCAAAGCCACTAGCCGAATTGACGACCTGAACTTACTCGCGCACGGGACGGTGCAGTTCGATGATGAGATGTCCTGCAAGAAGTATGTGAGAGACTCCAAGAGGAGTGGCACTAGTCCAGATCCGCGAACTGCCACCATGCAAGTGAAAAAACTCCTCGCATGAGCGATAAGATTTTTAACCTCCTGAAACAAACATTATTGTAGGACTACCGGAAGAACATATATCACAATGAATTTTTATGAATCATTTACACGTACACTTACTAATGGTACTTTCCTCTTGATCATATCGTTGGACTTCAAGGGTACTTTCCCTCCTTCCATTGGCAGATTCAACCTGCTACAGACCATCCTTTCTAAATTATGTTCGACGTTTCGTGGACTGATCCCACACGGGAGACCGTTGGCCAGAGAAAACATCGTAAAGATCAAACGTCCACTAGGGGATCTTCACCGTCAATAAGAAGTTCCAAGTCCAGTGATTCCTCCAAGTCAATCAAGCACTCTATCTTTGGGTTCTTTGGAGGCGGTAACAAAAAGATTTCTGCTCCAGTAGCTGTGGCATCTCCAAAGTTACCAGTTATCAAAACCGAACAGTCTTCAAAAGTTTCTCGTCGAATGTCAAGCTATACTAGCACTTCAGAGACATCAACATCCACACAAGAGGTACGTGAAACGACTACGACAACCATTACACGTATTCCAGTCAATGGATTCTTTTCAACAGTTTCCATCTTACCAAGAATCCGAGAGAAGTCCTTCGGACGGTGAGTTCCACTTTACTGATATTGATCTCAAACTGATTCTGTCTAGAGTCGGTTTTCTCTGGTTATACTGGAAGATCCGCGGGAACTAAGTCATCATGGGGCTCCATAGTAGATGGACAAAGCAAAAATCGTTTTATACAGCCTCTGAGCCCAAATTCTTTTGTCACTCAAAGTACTGAGATCACTGTCGCCCCAAGTGAGGATTTCAGTGCGTCAGAACAACTAGCTACTGTCGTTCATATCACTTCTGGAACAGTTCCTATCCAAATCCAAGATTCCACAGTGAGAGAGTAAGAATCTATATCCTGGACAGCCCAAGCCTTTGCTGACTTATTAGATCTGCTTTATCATCAAACTTCCTCAACATATGATTTCCCACTTCCACCTACACACAGTCCCGAGACCCCAAAGATACCAAGCTCTCCTAGAGTACTAAAATCTAGAAACGATACGGGTTCTAGAACTACCGAGTGGTCAATTACAGCAAGGAACAGGCGTTCAGATTCATGGAGACCTCCTGAAACGTGGGCATGTCCAGCGGAAGAAACAGCTTCATCAGTAGCCTCATTGAAGTCTTCAGGGTCTCGTCGAAGGAGAAACATCGTGGTCGTAATCGCTCACCTTCTAACACGGAGCAGACACATTTGCAAATGAATATTCGTAAGATGGAAGCAGCAAGCAATAAAATTATTCTAGAAAGATTGAATGAAGAATGGATGGAAGTGGCCGACGCATCGGTATATCGAGAGCTCGAGCTTGAGAAACAACTTTGGATGCTCACTGCTTTGCGAGCTATCAATCGCGTTGCTAGAACCCGTGATGCTTCCAGGGCGCTCAACGGAGCACCAAAACATGGGAAAATGCTTTCGTTGTATGAAAATCATGGTGAGTAATCTTTCCATCATCTCCATTTACATGCTCACAAAAGAAGCTTCTGCATCCTTTCTCTCAGCTTTGAATCCGGAAAAACAAATACATCATGTCTCCACAAACCCTTTATCGCCAAAATCATATCCAAATGTTCATCCTCTTGCTGTTCCAGGACCTACTTCACAATTATCTTATGCCTCAAATATCTTCGGCGCGGTTCATGCTATAGGTCTGCCATCTCTACTTCCTTCATCATCTATCCCCAATATACTCAAAGAATGTCATCGTACGCTCACCTCTTCCCGTACGTCAACCTCAGAAATTCCAGCATCGCCCACCGCGATCAGTCCACTTGGGATAACTCAACCTGGTATTCTTTATTTAACCATCCTGGATCCTTGTCCAGTTCCCTCATCACTTGGTCCACGACTAAGATCTTGGCTTGATACCCATTTAACAGTAAATTTAGAGAAGCAATTTCGCTGTTTGAATCCAACTCGTTTATTTCCTTTATGGTTGGCAGATGCAGGACTTTGGGCTGAGGGGAGCTGCACATCATCTTTGAAATTTCTAGCATGTGTTGGAATTGTAAATGGGAAGAACAGATAGAATGGCAGTTGAAAAGTGTAGTGGAAGAATGCTGTGGAAAAAGATGTGGGGAACCTACGTCGAGGGTGGAAAATGGTGGTGGGATGACGCTGCAATTGTGGAAGAATGTGAGAGAATGGGAACCTGCTGGGCTGGAAGTATCATTGAAGCTGTAAAGGAAGGGTAGATCAGCGAAACACTTCATGACTTGAGTGTTTGGCTGAGGCTCTATGGTTATGGATTTCTGTTTCTGCATGTTTCACGGAAACGGCGTTTGGTTGCGATGCGTATACCTTCTTCTTTTCTTGTATAGTCCGCTTTCAATGTCCTTGGCTTCTGGATATTGATTTTATTTCGTGTAACGATCGATTTCAACGGTCGATGTCCAAATTTTCAATATATATATTAATTTGTGCACCATGAGATGCAAACCCAAACACACAAGATTATGCTCTCAAACCGTTGCACCTACCTGTATGCTCCCGTGGATGCTGCCGCATATCTGCAGCCATCCCTCAATCCTGGCCCCCACCCTTCCCATCCCATCTCTTTACATCCATTGCGGTTCCATTACATATTCAGCTCATTTCCCCTGTCCTGCTTGCTCGCTTTGCTTACTTGGCTATAAATCATACGATGCAAACTCCTTCCTAAATAGTTCCCAAAATCCACTTATCACTGACTTTCATGGGGTCAAGAAATTCTTTGTTGCATATCGTAAATCCTCGGTCGAGTCAGTTGTTTTGAAGAAATGGGATGAGAGGTCCGGTTTTTTCGAATGGGGTGGGTCGGTATTGGATGTTTTGATTGGAGACTGATCATTCGAGTAAGGATTATGGGGCCATGGATGTTATTCTGAGTCAGGAGCGGGGAGATCTCAGATTTGAGTTCTGAGCATCTCGGGCGACGATAGCCCATTGGGTGTGTGGTATGAAGAACATCGCTGAATTATGAAATTTTGGCCGGGTTGGTTATTTGGAATAGCAAAAGATTACTGAATAATGGAAGATCAATTGACAAATTTGCGTAATGTGTTATACAATCATGTCGCAGCTTATCCACAAGCCCACCCAAAAGAATCTTACTCACCTCAGCGTCAGCAAGTATCCGAGATCATTTCAGGGGTATGATTCACGTCTCCTAACCAATCGTCTTTATTCTCATGAGGGAGACATCTTGATTCGATCCTCTCCCAACTTTGAGAACCTTCGAAACATTACCAGAAACAGCAACTTCATCCATTCCGGATATTCAGATATGCAACAAACAATTCTCTCCTCCTTTATGATTGCATGATGTTGAGTTTTGTGGAATTTATATGATGATGTTATAAAAGACTCGTATGAGGAGTGGGGTGACACCATTTATTACAATGGTGGAATTTGGATGTGAGACCACATCATAAATTTGTACGACTTTAGGTCTGGAAGATACATTCGCATAATCGCTACAATTCAGACCGAAAGCTTTGGTAGCTGAGTGTTTTTAATTCAGCCTTATTGCGGATATATCTGAGCGTTCCAGGTTAAACAAATGTTTTTCGCTCATACGCGTCAACACACTGTGCTGTTTTGGATACAAGTGAAGAAATGAGAAACAGATAATAGGGCAGCGGATAAGAGTAAATTTGAGATGTGCAACATTGAGGTTTGAGGAGACTGAGAGCAAGGCTCATTGGTTCTTCCTTCTATGCAGATGGATCGCTCTGGATATATTCATGGAGCGGGCGGACTTAGGCGCAAAGAGATGTGCAACATAGATCATGTAGGTTTTAAGCTATGGTGTGTATTGTTGGAACGCTCAAAGTTTTTTGTTTCCCTGCGCCATGTTTGCGAGATTACTCCTCGATACCAAAGCTAGTTGCTACGTTGGAAGGTAGAGGGTTTCGCGATATACATCTCTCTCCGTCACCCAGGAGCAACATCATAGTACTTGATCAAGTCATGGTTTAAACTTCGGTAGTACATCGGTACTTGATGAGGGTGTTCCGAATTGATCATGTGAGCTGGATCCCACCGAAACGTGACTGGGCGATGTTATCTCACTTTCAAATCCTCTTCGTTGATAAAATCTTTATAGTATTGAAGATTCATATTGATCTTTTTGATACTATTAATATTTTGAATTGCTTATTAATAATCAATTTTTTTTGGTTAATCAAGAATCAGGGTGTCACGGGGTGACACTAAGCCCTTTCTGTCCTGTCCTGTCCTGCTATATATGTGAGAGTAAGGTAGAACTTCCAGTTCTACCTCCTAGTCTTTTGGGCGTTTAGCTCAGCGGTAAAGCTTCTGAATACTCCCAGAAGTGATCCCGTGACACAGGGGAATGTTATCTTCTCGAAAGTCTGAGAGTGTCACGGATCGCACCCAATCGCAGCTGCGATCGCTCACGTACGCGCTTGCGCATGTGTACGATCACGTATACATAGCTAGTATATAAAAGCGCTCTATGAACACTTTGCTCCCAATTCTATAATTGTAGATTCTAAGGATAAATTGTACCCTGCTTTTGCAGTTCTTCTAAGGCAAAGTGTCACAGAGAGTATTTAGATATGTTTTTGATAAAAAACTGAATCTATTTGATAAAAGCATTTCAATTATATACTTCACTATTTCAATTATGATTTATTAAAAAAAGAAATATATTATTCAAAAGAGCTCAATTAATATTATTGTATAAATCAGCTTCAGATTGATTGGATTTGTAATTACTGTATAGTTTAATTATAAAGATTCTTTTTTAAATCAATTAAGTTATTTTTAGTCATTTCAAATTATCTTTATTAATAATAAAACTAATGTGTGAACAAGGGAATTCACTTCAAAAGAATGACTTCAATACAATGGCTACTGTATCAAAGGTATTTAGGCGAATGCGAAGGAGACTAGCTCTTTCAGTAGTGCCTATATAAGGCCTACTATTTCCCCTTATTAGCTAGCTCTTTAGATTGAATACAAATAGACATTTAGGGGCCTACTGATAGTGGGAACCTATCACAGGGGCAGGCGGGCGGGATAGGGTTCTAATAACTTTACCCTAATCTAGCAAAGTTATACTGATTCGGGTAATAGGTTCAGATTGAGGATTAAGATGTAGCTCAAAGAGCTACAATACAGAATCTTCTGATTGAAGATATACGGAATTTTCATAGCGAGCTAGCCCGATCGGGCTCTAGCTCGCTTGTATTCCGGTGTGAGTATTCCTTTCAATCCTTTCCGATAGGACCAGCATATTATGTAAGCTTATATCGTGATATTACTTTCCTTCTAAGGGTTAAGCTCTATCGAGGCGGCATGTCATTGTTTATAATCTATAAATAGGTGGGGCCTGGTTAAGCAGGACTAGGTTTGTTAGAATATCTATAATAAAAGTTGCAAATCAGTTCTTGTACGTCTTCCAGATAGTTTGTAGATTCTTTGGTTGGTGTATCGTAGTCGATCCAATGGATAGTGTATTTCAGGCAAGGTTCTTTACAATCTCTTCTTTCCTAATAGGAATTCAGAATTTTGGTAATCTCAAGACACTTGAAGCTGTTTATTTCTATAGGGGATAATAATAAATTACACTGTTCAGGAATAAGATTATTGTATGTAGGATATAGTAGATTGATATAGAAACAGAATGAATCTTTATCGAGATTAGAAGCTTTAATTTATAAGTATAAAGGCCTATTAGATTTAAGATTTTGAAAAACTTGAGGTTTTTCTAATCAAGCTTCTTTTATAAGTACAAAGTCTTAATATTTCTGGTGTTTAACTAAAACTAGATTGCTGGGTAAGTATTTACGAGTAGGGGAATAATAGATATCGGTATTCTTCGGATATCGAGTTTGATTAATAATTAATTCGGTTTGTAAATATAAGAAAATAGTTTTTATTTTAGTAACAAATTCTTTGATGTCTTATATAGCAGAATGGTTATTCTAGGATGGTGCGGGCTCGAAGCCTAGGCAAGGGTGGAACCCATAATTCGAGAAGAATAGGGTTATCCGGGTACTTTCGGACTAGATATTATTAATGGAGAATTCAGTAAGTGGGAACTACTCTACCCAATCATCCTGTAGATATACTATATACAATCAGAGGTACTATTCTAGTATTATATTAGTTTTTTTGGTTTATCTATCAGTTTCGGGGTGGTAAACAGTTAAAAGCTTGGTGGCTATACCCAAGCGCTTGCAGATATATTTCCAGAATTCAAAGACAATTGAGCTTTACAATCAGATATAATGAATAGGGGTAAGCTATAGAGCTTTTAGATATTCTTCTAGAACAGGCAGGCAACCTTTTGAAGTTGTAGGTATTATAGTAAGGTAAGAAATATTTTATTTTTGTTAATCGGTTGATTATTATTATGATAATATTGAAACCAGTACTTTTGAGTAGGTGTATAATGAAATCTATCAAGATATTTTGCCAAGCTCTTTATGAAATTGAAAGTAGATAGAAAACTCCCTCCTAGCCTTTACAATTCGGAATAGTGTGATAGTAATTATAATAGTTATAAATCTATTGTGTAATATAATCGTAATATCCAGGCTAGTAATTGTCACGGCGCCAACTACATGATCTGTAGTTGCCTTCGTGCCTCAGGCACAGAATACTAGCGCGCCCTACTTCCTATAAGTAGGGCTTCACTCTTCCATAGCTCTTCTATCCTTATGGTACAATATAAGTCTTTACCTGTACCATAACAGTTATACCATTATCAAATAAGCTATCACAGCTTTTATTTCCTATTTTATTTCCAAAGCCCTACTGATGCCTTATCCCGATCACACCGATCGCATCACCATTGATCCATTGTACATCCTATTACCGATGTTTTGAGCCTCAAAAAGTGCCAAAGATGGGTGAACAAGTACCTGCACTAGAAGCGCCTGTATCTAGCCTATCTCTGCAGTTCCTTTTTTTGAACCACGTTCTCAACTTCACCGAAACCGATATCTCTCTCTTTACAGATCTATTCAATAATCCAAATGCTACACACTTCACCACCGCTCAAGCCGTATTTGAATCGATCGAATCGATCGCGGGCTTATTACAAGCCTAAACTGCCGCTGCTCAAACCCAAGCTATTGATACTCAATCAAAGATTGTTGAATTGAAAGATACAATTAAGATATTGAAGATTGCTATTCATAATAATTCACAAACTTCACCTTGTTACAAGTATCTCGCCGCCCCCGAAAAGTTTAATAATAATGAGCAAGATATTACAAAATGCTAAAATCAGTATATAACTTTTTATAGTATAGTTAATCGCTGTTTAACTACGGATTACAAAAATAAATCAGAATTTCAGAAATCATATTTCTTGCTAGCCTACTTTCTGGTTCTGTTTATACGAACAATCAGATACACTTTGATATAATCACAGAT